ATTGGTTATAAAGCTAGATTTTATTTTAAGATTTTGGATTTTAGTTTAGTGGATTGCAAAATATGAATTAAGTAGGTTTTGAACCTTGTGCATTTGTGGGATCCTCTCACAAGTGTACGACGTCTATTTTGCTCCCAATTTTAGGGCGTGATAACACATCTAAGGAAAAAAAATGTTGACGAAGACAGAGATGTATAAGTTTTGGCCTTCTAAGCATTTTTAGTCTCACCGGATACAACTTAAACTATAACTACCAAATGTGAAGCAAAACGAGCATAAGACTAATTTGGTTCAAGAGATAAACTTGCTTTTGGATTTTACTTCTTTGCTTTCCACCCATCTCAATCTCTTTTGAATCGTCTTGAGCATTTTATCGAAAGATAAGGCAATTTGTTCTAAGAAAAAATAGATACTAAATTTGAAAAAAAAAAATGTATTTCTAGGTTCAATGAAAACCCTTTGATGGGTTCCTCATGAACCCAGAATTGGGTTTGTGATGAACCCAAATCGTCTGGGTTCCTTGCAAACCTAGATCTAGGGTTTTTTTTTTTCTCCCTTCTTTATCATCTTCTTTTTCCTCATTTTATGAGTGGCAAGTTGTTAAAAAGGAAGGTTGATTGGTTGGCGCCAAATTTGGAGATTGTGCCGAGGTAGATCAGATTATGGATATAAGATTGTTGAAGAAAATCGATGTGTATGTTGGATCAACCTTCGTTGTCTCTTTGATGCTAAGTTTGCTTCAGTTGCTGTCTTTCTCAACGAAGAAACAAGCTAAAACAAGCTTAGGTTTATGACTTAGCCACTCGTGATCTTAAGCGGTTGGGAGAAGAGAAATAGTGATGAAGACTTGAAGAGTGAGGAACAATGGTTGGAAATAGTGGTGGTGGTGGTGAGGAGAATAAAAGAGAAAGGGTAGAGGAGAATGATGGCAAGAAGAAGAAATTAAGGGAATTTTAGTAATTTTATACTTAAAGAATTGAAAAGCATTAAAAATGATAATTAAATTTGACTTGGCAATTTGACATTGTCCACCTAAACTAATTGTATGATTTGTCATTGACGAGTTATTACAAAAAATAAGGAAAATGCCACGTAAATCAAGTTAATGGTCTTGACTGATAGAAGATCAAAATTGTACAATTTTTAAAGTTGAGGGATAAAAAAAAAAATGCAAAAATAATTGAAGGATGAAAATTATGCAACACTATAAAATTGAGGGACCAAAATTAACATTGACCTCGTTATTTTGTGTGAGATGCAAAACCTATGTAATGAAAAAACTGTTTGAGGGCGGCTTGGGGTGTTTACATATCTTCGTTTTCGGCTAAATTCAATAAATAGTCTATTAACTATGTGATTTATTTTAGTTTAACCTAAAAACAATTTTTTCTTTCAAAATTATTTATAAACTATCAATATTGTTTCAAAATGGTTTATTTAACAAACATTTCGTTAGCTAGACTAATGGAATTCTTTTTAACTGTTGATGTGTGCACCTAATTCATCACTGGCTTGACATGTAGCGCAAAACACACGAAGGGGAGTTGGTGTAGACCAGTTGCCCCCTAAACTTTTGAAAAATATTAAATATAGTATATATATTTTTGTTTTTTTACAACATTTTGTTTTTAAAGTTTAAATT